TATACACGCGCGCGCGCATACACACACACACACACACACACACACTGCCATACTTTTTCTCTGTACGAATAATTGATAAGTAAAAGTGTTCGAGAAAAATATATATTGCGGCCCGCCTAAGTATTTTACAGTGTGCGAGATGATGTACCTGAATCGGATATTTGCGCGAACTTCTTCTTTGTGTTGCTATTTAGGGACTATGTATTATATGATAAGCGAGAAAAAGATGTGCTATATCGAGTTATATATGATAACGACACAACTTTGTGTATCTCAGTCATTCCATTTCGTATTAAAGCGTAATTAATTTATTAAACGAGGCTGATTTAATTGATGTACAGTACGTCTTATGGAATTTATTATAAATTCATTAAGTATACTGCCACTGTGTTTCCTTGTGTGCAACCTCTATTTCTTACATTTCGTAGCGATTCCACACATTGCATTCTAATATTTTTTCCTTTTTTTTTTTTACATTCACATCATGCAAATAGAATCTACTGTCTGCGCGTAGGTATACCATTCATCAAATATCGGCTAACATCATAAATTATATCGCGCGCAGTTTGCGCTTATCGATATTCGATACCATTCGTTTTTTATCTCAAATGAATTACCGATGAATGTTTTAGTAAAAGTCACGTTAAAACTAAAATATATTATCAATTAAGGCTAAGGCGTAAGAATAGAATATCTGAAATATGTATATTGAAATTGAAATAATTTTTCTGATTTTTTTTTTCTTTTATCACACAGCTAAACGTAATTATTCAGATGATTATAACGGTTTGATTTCTCGAATGATGTATATATAAATATGTGTATATTTATATTAATACTGATATTGATATGAGAATATATACTTGTGACAATACGATGATAAGCATAATGTGAATGCAAAACAATTATTCTGATTAAAAAGCAAAATTTTATTATATATTAGTTACTATATATTAGTTATTCTATTAACGCGTCGCGTCAATAACAGTATAATCTTATTTTCTATATTAGAGCAAATATATATCTATCCATTTTAAACGATTCAGATAGCGTTAAAACAATGCCGTGGTTTAAATAATGCACAAATGCAAAGAAGAGGGCCGGCAGTCGGCTACTGGTGAAAATGCTTGATTCCCGTGAACATTAAATAAAATATCATTCGACAAAAGCGCGCGTTAATTTGCCTGGCGAATCGAGGAACGCCGCTTTGCGGATTATTATATTTATTTATGCATGACCGCCGTGTGTGTACGCCGTTAGTATGATAACTCAATTATTGTACTCCGTACAATGTTTATCCAGTGTCGTTATGCGAAATATATAACCACACAGGTATTTTTAATACTTGTATATTGTTCGTAATTACATATGCCAGGAAAATTGGGTTAGTATTCAAATAACCTAAACCCAAAGTATTAAATTTCTTGATCTAACGTCTTTTTTCTTCCACGATTTTTCTCAAAATACATTCATAATTCTTCTTTATTATCTGTACTAATATCTTAACGATTTTTCAATTTAGATTATATAACAATTTTAATTTTTACAATTATTCGATTTGGTGAGTCTCACATTAACCTGTTGGAATATGTTATATATTTTCAGAATATAATATTTTGTATATCACGATTTCTTCGAAAAGAAACATTAATTGATTATTTCGGAATTCATCTTTTAACAAATTTTGCACTACGCAAATCTAGTTGAGATGGTTACGCTGAAATAGCTTTGAAAGTTTTCAATATTCTTCTCTTTTATTTCATAACGATCTTGTTGAACAGTTGAAGTGTTCGTGGAATGCAACGGTAACAATCTGTAAATGTGATTGTTTATCGTATAGTACTCTTTTTATAAGCACAAGAGAAGTTTTTCAAGAGTTTATGAAAATGCAATAGTCGATAACGAAAAGACTGAACTTTGCATTTAATGACTTTCGCCGAAAGGTTTTAAAATGTTCTCAAATTTTTATATATATATATATTTTTTTTTTTCTATCATTTCAACGGAATAAAATTGAAAAAATAGTGACGAAAAAAATTCAATATTAAAACTATGCACATTAAATAATCTCACGTTGATGCGGAAAGTGTGTTTACAGCTGTATATCCTAATATAACACACACACACACAGCATCAAAAATATCGTTTGGAAAATAACAAACCCACGTATTCCCATGGATCGATATTCGCCTACAATATTTAATTTAGATCCTCGATTCTGCTCACGAAAGTGACCGCCGCATCTGTTTACAACAATGGGGTATTGTAAACATATTTATTATTTACCACACTAGAGATCCTCTCTCCCATATCGCCTAGGGAAAATTATGCTCGACGAAATACCGCCTGGTTTCCGATCCTCGGATATGGACCACGAGGCTACAGGGGCGACTGTGTGGCAATCGATGGCGCCAGACTGTGGGTGTGTGGGTATACGTCAGGCGCTCACGGATATCAGCAAACGAGATACTGCAACCCAGTACGTACCAGTACGTACGAGTATTCGCACACGAACGAAGGCTTCCGTTGCTTGGCGACGGTAAATCGGAGCTGCGTCACATCGGGGATTCGTGAAATGATGAGGGTCGCCGTACAGTCCGAGCGATCCTTCTCTCGGGGGTGGCGAACGGTAAAAAGTCGTGCCGCGTGCGTATTTCTCTCGCGAGGTCGAGTGCGACGAGTAAAAATTCGCGGAAATCCCTTTGGAGGATCGCGTTGACCTGGCAATTCTCGCGTGGCGTTTCTCACGCGCGAGTTCAACCCTTACGTTGAACGCGAAACTCGCGTACCGCGTGAATTTCCGAAATAATTCGACGAGAAACGATTCGCGCTAACCGATCGCTATGACGACGCCTGATTTAGCACGGAAGTTGAATTTCTACAGGTGTTTATCCTTCATGATGTTATCGGCCGTCATGTAATGTTTGGCGGTGATATTATTCCAACCGAATACACAATTTGCGCATCGCGTTTATTCACCATCTGTATCGCGAATTACCATGTTCTCTCTGTAGAGATGTAAAACGGCGCGCGCCGAGACGAACTTCAACAACCGGCAATCTTAATGCAAACACATTAATGCGGGTAATGTATTCCGTATCCGATCTTCCGAGAGAGATTGCTTTCCGCTGCCGCCGCTCTTGCGAGTGCGTGCGAATGTATGCGTGCGCGGCATTTCGCAAATACCCACCACCCGCGTGAATCCAATAATCGCAGTAATACTCTTCGCGTATTTCCACTTTAACCTTTGATTCGATCCAATATTAATACAAGCGCGAGGAAATGGGTCTCGGTATTCTGTAGAAGTCACGTGGGAGCTGCGACGGTGATAGATCTAGAGTATCACGACTGATGAGAACATCGATCGTTCAGCAACGAGCATAGCGCGAGATCTTTGGCGCCAGACCAACGAGAGCGCAAAATATACTTGCCGTCGAATTTTCGCGAACTCGTTGGACCTCTGCCCGAGAGATTCCGCCATGGAGTCGCAGTTCGAGGAGGGTGAGTCTTGGAGATGTATGCCACTTGCGTACGCACCTGCCGACTTCTCCCTTGAGGCTCTCGGCAAATTTGCAAGACGTATCGCGCCAAGCAATTGGACATTGTTAATAAATTCGCATGGAGCTGGCTAATTTCTATGCACGACAAAGCACTACGCTGAATGCATTATTCAACATTTATTTTCGGAATTCGCAGAGTCTCTTCTCCAATTCCCCATAAGCTTTATTTATTTAAAAACAGTTAAAGTTTAAGTTTGTATAACGAAATTGTGCTCGTAAAGAGATAAGATATTTTCTATATAAGTTTCAGACTAACAAAAAGTAATTTACGTAAATATTTTCGTCAATAATGTAATATCACTATAAAAATAAGAATTTGAAGGAAGGACATTTGATAACGAATTTGTTTCTGAAAATTGTAGCGTAAAATAAAACGTTAGACGATCGAGTGTGTTGAAGGCATCTACTTAGGTAGGTCTATTTTTTTTAGCTGAACTTCTTGCACCGTTTATTTTTTCTCTTTTTCTCTCCACGCTGGAGAAAAAAAGGGAGGAAAGGTGACCCCTATGCAAGAAGTTAGGGTAAAAAAAAAAAAAAGAAAGATCAGGCTCATGCAGTATTCATCACATTTACGCTTCCGCTTTCGCACGCGCCAAAGAAAACTAGCTGAGCAGATCATCAGCGAAGCGCATGAGCAACAAAAAAAAAAGGATGTTCTCGACAAACTACTAGCTATAACCAAACAGCGAAATTTCGCGTTGGAACTCACCACCTGCATTCGTTCCACCTGGCGCCAGGTAACGCCGAGATACCTTTCCAGAAATATATACGCTTGGATGAAAATACCGTGGCCGACATATTTTT